GGGGTGTCACCGTGTCCCTGCTCCCTGCATCCCTCTGGGTGCGACATGTCCCGCCAGACCCCGTCCCTCTCGTCCCTCCCGCGCTCTCGGTTTCAGTTCACGACCGAACGTGTCTCGTTTGACGCGTCCGCTTTCCCCACGGCTGCACAGGCGGAATGTGACGGTGCCGATGGCGCCGTGCAGCTGCACGTGTGGCACTGGGTGCAKGCGGCGTGTCCGGCTCCCGTCCCCTTCCTGTCCGGCCTCGGGCTCTGCCCAATGCTGAGTGAGCCCAAAAGGCCCCCAAAAAGCGGGGGTGATGGAATAAGGGGCGGTGTGGTGGCCCCAGGGGTCCCTGTGCCGGGGGAGTCCAGCCCTACAAACTTTGGGAACAGCCGTGCCTGGWGCGCACTGGTGGCCCCCTGGCAGCCCCAGTTTGGGCTGGGCCCGTTCCTGGGCACTGGGAGGGTTTTGGCACGCGCTGAAAAGGCAGAAAAACAAGGAACCGAACCTTCCCCAAAGAAATCCCGTGTGGGCACAGGCACGGAGCCAGCGCTTGGCGGGGAGCAGCCCCGGGAGCAGCCCCGGCAGCGGGCAGCTGACGGGTCCCTTGGCCACAGTTTGTGGCTCTGGGTGGGGCCGTGGCTGTGCCAGGTGCCCAGGAACCCTGGCATGTGCTGGGAGGTGTCAGAGCCGTGCTGGGGCGCAGACAAGGGGCTGGAGGAGGTGGGGGGTGCCCTGATTGGGGGGGTCCGGCACAGGGTAGAGCCCCTCACCCCCCGGATCCATGCTGGGGATGGAGTCCTGTGCCCCTCACCCCACAAATCCATGCTGGGGATGGGGTCCTGTGCCCAGGGCTGAGCCCTGTAGGGGACAGGGAGTTCCTGGCACGGCTGCTGCCCCACTCAGCACCCCCCAGCATTGGACAGGGCCCCAGGGATCAGAACAGGCACCAGGGCTGGGCCCTACAAAGAGAGAGCTCGGCCCTGTGGCCTCCCCGAGCCGAGATCTCCAGGGGCTGGCACCCACCCAGACAGAGTACCCGGGTGGGGCTCCAACCCCAATATCCACTCTGAGAAGATACCGCAGCCCCCCTGGCTGGACTGGCCACCCTTGGCACTCCCCAGGAGTTTTCTCCAGTCCCAGTGGGGAGGTGGCCGGTCCGGGAGCCCCCTGGCACTCTGAAGAGTGGCAGCACCCACGTGGCTGAGCACAGGACAGGCAGGACCTGACACGTCAGCGCTGCCCGGGGCTGGGCAGGGTTGGTGCCTGCTGGCCACAGCCCAAAGGACAGCCCGGCCCCATGGTCCCCTGGGCACATGGACAGCCTGGTCCCACAGCCCTGTGACCCCACAGCCTTGTGATCCTACAGCCCTGCAGCCCCATAGCCCTGTGACCCGACAGACAGCCCAGCCCCATGGCCCCCTGACCCCTTGGCATAGTCCAGCCCCACAGACAACCCAGCCCTATTGTCCCCTGGTCCCATGGACAGCCTGGTCCCACAGCCCTGTGACCCTACAGCCCTGTG